GCGGGGAGGGACGCGCCCGCCCGCCGGAGGCTGTTACGCGGCTAACTGGACGTGCTAACGGCCCCTTTGCTCAGTGCGCCGTGGCCCGCGCTGTTATCCCGCATGTTTGCTGCTCTCCGTCGCGACTACGAATTGCAGACCGCCTCCGGAACACACAAGGACAAGACCGGGGCGGCGACGGAGGAGGAGGAGAAGGGAAGCTGTTGGGATAAGAGACTCAGAGCCCAGTTCTCTGTCTTGGTACGGCAGAAAGTATGGTATTGCTGGAAGACGCTGGAGAGAATTTTTCTTTCAGTGAAAAAGATTATCTCGACCACAAAATTAGATTGCGTGCTTTCTGTCAATTTGTTTTGTTGTTGCATCGGATTGGGAATATTTGTGACCTCTGTATACGTCTGAAGAACAAATATTCTTCACGTTTTTTATTTACCTTAAAACTTGCATTCTGCATTAACCACGTCTTGCATTTTAAAATATAATATAAATTGTAAGGCGTTCTGTATTATTGCCATGAAAATTCTAACCTAGCTTTAAACAAATGACATGAGAACATACTTTTTTTTATTTTAGCGATCTCTAAATAGATTTTATTTCTTTTAAAACGTTAACATGTTTTTTAATTAAATGTTTTTTCAAAATTGTATCTCTTATTTCTAGAGCGATGTTCCTCTAAATAAATGAATCTTAATGAATCAACTAATAAAGTACAAATGGATGTTTATAATTATTAACATCATGAAACCGTTACACACTAAATAACAGACGCGGTTGAACTTCGCAAACCGAGGCAGCAGTCGATTGTGTCATTTTTTTATCGGCCATATATCATTCAATACTTTTCGTAATACTATATTCTTATCAAAAAATAATGTAAATTAGAAAAATCTGTGCTTTTAATACGCCATTTTCCATTTCAATTCGATTCTAGTCTTCGATGCATCAGACGTAACAGACTTTCATAATGACTCGATTGTTTGGTGAGACGCGATAGTTTTTGTTTATACACACATTTAAACAGATGTACGTTCCACATTTAAAGTTGAAGGATTTACCAGACGATGTTTTAATAAGTGCAAGTGGTGCAAGTTTGGATTTATATGTGACAACATGATAAGAGAGGAGAAAGAATTTTTTTTAAAATCAAAATTGGCGTCAATATAGAAAGATTGGTAAAGTGAATGAAGCAGTTATGTTGAATTAATAAAATAAAGTATCTGAGATCTAATCTCCCACATCGTTGCGAACAAAACTTTCGATGTCTTTAGCAAGTTTGCTAGTAAACGAAAATGTTGGCGTATCATGTCAGTATGAGTCAACATTTTTAATTTTTACTTATGAATTAAGACACTTAATTTTGTAAGTTATATCTAAATTCATTTTAAGGATTCGTAAACAATGCTAGTCGAAAACAGTGGCGATCTGTTTTCGTTGAAAGAGCATGGAGAGATTAGGAGTTCTCTTCAGTAGCGGAAACACATATTGAACAATTTGTTGGACTGAAAAGGATTAAAATTTCTAAACAATTACTCAGCAGTGAGCGCCGACGAGGTTTCATTTACATCAAGAGATTCAAGTACATCGATGTTGGCACCAGCCATTTCCGAATGAAGGGCTATAAATTATTATTATTATTATTATTATTATTATTATTATTATTATTATTATTATTATTATTATTATTGTTATTATTGTTATTATTATTAATTGTTCATTCAATAACAGGTTTACTTCAAGAAATGCTGTAATTGACCTGTTAAACAATTTTGTATGTGTTATTTATCTTGTTTCTGTATGTTCCTTCTGTTGTTTGTCATTGTTTTGAAGTTTAGTGAATAGTGTGAATAATGAATAGTGTGAATGGAGTGTTTAATGAATATGAATGAAAAGTACGAATTCATTAACGGCTGGCGGCCATTATGATTACCTTTCTCATTCCTGTGTTGGGTTGCGTTGTGCACATATATTAACTGAAAAGTGTTATGAAAATATTTTTGAAGTACGAGAGCATTGGTATTAGTAAAAACAGTAATTGCGAAGGATTCATAAGAACTCATTTCTTTGGCACGTGTATCTTCTGCTTGTCATTCAAAAGTTTGCTTTATATTTGTATTCTATTGTTGCAGGTTGGTGATGCCTCATGCAGGGATTGAAACGGTGGGGAGAACTGCAATAGCGGTAACTAGTAGTATACACGTGTTGCCTCAGCAAAACAAGAACACATTCCCTTTCTTGTTCAAATATTTAGAAACCACGACGCATTCAGAAATGTTTAAATATTGATGCCTACTCAAGACATTATGATCGATGCACACACAGAGCTCACTCTTCGCTTGATGTAAATGAATCGAATAATGAATGGTTAATCAAGTGTTCAAATATCTAGTAAATGTATACTGTTTGCACTAATTTCTGCAAGCCATCATTACTCTGGTATGAGAGTTTTTGTGCAATTAGTATTTCATTAATTTGGAATTCGCTCGTATAAACTGGTTAAATGATTGCAGTTTATCGATGTTTAAATTAATATGAAAAAACATAAGTTATTTATCTAATTGTAAATTGGATATGCATTAAAACTTCATCACTGAACATGCTTTTACCATAAACTCGCGCACATAACATGTATTTGTTGAAATAACAATGGCTATATATTCTCTCTTTTTTATAGAAACGGAAATATCAAGGAAAATAGAGAAACAAGATATCTCATATTCATTGAAATAAATATTTTTAGCTATTCATAATTCTGTTAGACAGGACTGTGGAACAAATGTCGATATACAAGTATAATGTTGACATGTACTATTCGAAATTTCAATATATTTTTACTACCTCAATCTGTATATTTTCATCATATACATATCTGTATACAAAGAACCGCGTTCCTCTGTCAATAACTGATCGGTAGAAAGTTGTGATCTTTTATTTCGTTGTGATATTTATTTACGTTTATATATCTTCGCTATTTGCTAACACACAGCTCTACAGAATTTTATCTTCTCTATTCTTGGAACGAAACCGATTTTTTGTTACTCTTTGTATGTAGAATGGAAATAAAGTACTGTCATACTCCCGTAACATTGCTTTTTTGGTCACGACATGCAAGAATCAAAATAGAAACCGTCCAAATTTTTCAATTCTATTTGTTGATCAAAATCTTTTTGTATTGGAAGATATGTAGAAATTCGTTTAAATAAACATTGATTATATCCCACTTGCACTCTGAGCATATTTTAAAAAACAGAAGGCCAGTACAGTTTACATTATTTGTTAAAACTATGTAAATTTGTTTTTTCGAGCAAATTATTTGTAAATATGGGAATTTTGAAGATAAACAATGCGGATATCATCAACCAATAATAGACAACATTACAATTGACAGTGCAGATGTCGCTCTCAGTTATCTTATAATTATCAACAGTTTTAGAATTAGTATTTCTTTTTACCGTTTCAGATTGTGTTTGTCAGAAATAAGCCAGCTTTAACAGCAAAAGGGAAGTTTCGGGAGTATAACCGCTCTTTTTTCTTTGTTTTTCATCCAAATATCCTACAATGCAAATAGTAAAAAATGCAAAATACATTTTTCCCTAGTGACCGAGTTTACAAATAACACTTATTTAATTGGTGCCTTTTATTCTTTTTATGTGCTAGTAAGGAAGAAAACATACAAGTACATTTCGAAACATATGTTGAAAGTAGTTTATTGTTATAAGGTAATTATATTTATATTATAATAATTTTATACGTTTTATTTGTTCATAAGGTTAATTGTTTAGGTCGCTTTTCAACAACTTGGTGATAAAGCGACTACTGTGATTGTTTTACTGTAGTTATGAACTGTATGAAAAACACGTAAAGACAACACGCACACACAAACATCCTGAGGTGGGATTCAAACCCGCGGCCCTTCGAACCGAGACAACTACGGCCTTGCAGCCTTAGCGATCTCGACCATTCAGACCGGCAATTTTTATTAATTATTATTCACATTAAATATCGTAATTCTTCACCGGAAGACAGTGAACGCCTGGTGGGTAGGCTGACCCGCACTACAGTGGCGCCATGCGTGGTTGTCAACATGGACCAAGAAAGTCGCAATTTTGTTACGAACAGCCTGATCGTGAATGTTAACTGCACAAAGGCTTGCACCGACATCTGCTTTGGGCATATCTTCTGCATTGCAACCGTGCGTGATGGTTGATTGTTTTAACCTTGTGGGAAGGACGTCGCGGGTAAAGGAAAGCACATCGAACATACTATATCGCATTATACTAGGAACAATTTCAGTCATCATTTATTATTGCATCGAAAAGGGAAATATGGATTCGCTGCACTTGGTCGGCAAAATCCCATTTCAGATCTGATCTCAGAGGCCCAATAATATGGCTGAATATTAGTAGATGCGCTGTAAATGTACTACAACGTTTCAATAAAACAGTCAAAATTGAGAAGTTTCTAGCGAAAATATTTTGTATAAAATATAGACAGACCTCATAGCAAAAAACAAATTGAGGTGATTAAAAATGGCTTGATGACATAAACTTAACTAAACACATTTTATACAGACTCCTGTTCTATTTCTTTCTTTCAGAAAACAATTAATTTTGCACGCCTGTGTAATGGGAGGGAGCAATGGCAATGATGAATCACAGCAGATCATTTCTGTTCTAGACAGTGGATCCACTTGGCACTTGGCATCTCGTTTTATGAGATTCGATTCACATATCTTCACATATTTAATGTACTTGCAATACTCTAACTTGGCCAATATGTTAAAAATGAATGTCATTGCCAAAAAATGAATACATTCAGTGAATGTAGTAGATATCAAGAACAGAAAAGTGCCTAATAAATATTGGTTAGAATAACACCTAACACTAATTATGTCTGCAATAATGGCTAATAATGTCCTCAATATTCTTGACGAATACTTTGTTCAGTAATAGTTGGGAAAGAAGCGTTGTGTTTGAGTTAATGGAGATCATAATGTAATGTTATAAACAAGGAATAATTTCATGAGTTATTAATTTGAGTTGATTAGTGTTTCTTTCATTTTCTTGATAAATTTCCCTACTATTCAAAATATCGAATGCGTGTTTCCTCGTGCAATTTTTTTCACGCGACTGGACAAAATCTCATTTGGAAGATCACAGTCAGTCAATTTATTTCTTCTCAATTACACGTACGCCGTATATCTGTCAAGTAACTTACTTATAACATACAGTAATATCACGGACGGGCGTACGAATTTGGAGCTAGAGGGAGAGGATGGGAAGGCAGGCGTTCTCGTCGGGAGCGTTTAATATCCTTCATTATTCTTCTACGGCTAATCTATTCGAGCGGGCCACGGGTGATCTGATTCAGAGTTTGACTAACCTGCCGGTAGAGGCGTCCTTTCAGGAGACAAAATTACGCATCGCTGGACGAGGACGACGGTCGTTATTTCTCCTATTCAACCAATCACTAAAGGCTGTTCGAGAAGGATTTTCAACGCTATGCAGTCAGTAGGGATCTCACTATTTATGCTGTGGGTAATTCTCCCGACAAACATGACAGGAAGAAATACAATTCTTGCATTAACAAAGTTTTGTTTTGCCGGTCCGGATGGACGAAATCGTTAATGCAGTAATACCGTATCGGTCTCGGACCGAAGGATCGCGGGTTCGATTCCCGCCTCTCGCATGTTAGCGTATGTGTTCGCCCTTTCACTCCCTATCATCACCATACCATGTCATCATCACTGTTGCCATACCGTTAAACGCAATAGTGGTCGCTAATGACCAAGATGTTGATACGACCGTAAATAACAAAAAAATAATTTATATTTCTGAAAAATCTGTGCGAGTTGATTTTTATCCATTTTAAGATATTTTTTATTATACATTTTCCGCATGAAATTTCTCTGAGGAAGACTGATTTGAAAACAAATCTATTTTAATTGGGCTTCGTGAAATTAGGCAAGGACAATTTTGGACGGTTCTAAAAATGCACCCACTTGTCGAATAGTATGCCCTCTGACTTGTTAATTGTGGGTACGAAGGGATTTATCATACATTTAGATGATTTATTGAACTTTGGAAACGTTTTGTCAGGACTCTCATACCTCTCGAAACTCAAAGAATTTCTTCTCCAACTACCTCTAAGCTGATCCCAGTAAACTACAACTACCGAAAACTACCAAATCTCGCCAGATGGCATTCCAATAGCACCAAATAATGCTCTGATTGCATAGCGTTCCGGTCGAGTTGAATTTTTTATTGATTTTTGGGACTTCCTAACCGAAAAAAGAATGACTGCAGCATATTCTTAAACCTAGGTAACATGGAAAATAAGAAAAAGTTTCTGTCTTCTTTAATTTTCTCAAAATTGACGATAGAATCGCAGGGAGACTGGTAATTGTTTTAATTTTTTAGGGCAATTAACTTTTAATATCAATCTGAAACGCAGCAGTAAACACGAAATTAATGGGAGTTTATTACTTTTTCTGGTACACGCATACGCAGTGTAAATGTTTGTCGTGTCAATTTAAAAAAAATAATTCATAGAATTATACTTTATTTCAGGGGTATCGTATTACGACACTTGCAATATTAATTGAAGGGTTAGATAAAGAAAGCAATAAGTTATTGTTGTACAGTAATGGATGAGGCGTTGAAAATTAAGATTCATATTAAAAGTTTGAAAATCTCAATGATTTCGAAATAAATTGACAGTACACACATTTGCATGTAAATGAAAAAATGAATGTGGTAAGTTAATCCTCGTTAAATGTGAATATATTACTTCATCTTTGCGTGAATATTCACGTGAATTTATGGTTTAGAAAGGCTCGCAAGCTTCCCACATTGGCGCATTATCCTATCGACTTAGGCATTATGTACTTTCCCTTTAACTGTTCATAAAGTCAGTAAGATACTTTTGCCCGTCAGGTAGTATTGAGATTTACTGCACTGGTGTCTTGAAAAGCAAGTAGCGCACGCCCAGCGTGTTACATGAAAGATCCATAAACATGCATCCTGATGTTACAGCTTGATAAATGCTTTTGTGAGGATTCACATTCTTGAAACACCCGATAATTACAACACGAGCTGTAATATGGATACGCGATAGTGAAACCAGCGAGCTGAATGGAGTGAGGTTCTCAATGGTACTAACTGTTAATAAAACGATGCTGACACACAAATAGTCCAATTTGTTAGCCAAAAATGTAATATTGTAACACTTATCTAACAAACATTTTCTGTTTTCTAGAATATTCTGCGTAATTTTTGCATGTTGTGTTTTTAAATATTTATTCTTAAATGAAAACGCAGATATGGTGAAAATGGGGAAACTTCTTAAAAAGTATTTCGTT